AGTATATAACACAACATGTCGTTGCCATAACTTGTGGCGGAAACATGTCATCGCTAAAAAGTGTATCGTCAAAGTTCACTTTCCTTGTAGTGACCCCTCGGTAAGTACGAAAAAAAATTCAATAAGTGTTTTTCATTAGTATAAAATTGAATACAATAAATGCTAATAATTTACTGGAGAAAGAAATCTTATTTATCTTTATTATAAATATATAAGAGAATACTTAAATTTACATACTTCTTGTTATGTAATTTGAAACCAAGAGTATAGAAACTATGGTTGACAAATTTTTAATAAAAAGTAAGAATTTTTTTAGTTCATAACAAGAAATGTGTTATTTTGATATAAAAAAAGAATTTGTATGAATAAAGTAATCGTGAGAGTCAATGAGAGATCAATAATAATAAAAATTATCAATGTTTTCTAGACAAGTAGACAAATGATGATCAATAAGAATATGAAATAAAAGATGATCCATTGAGATCCAATAAGAATAAATAATGAATTAAACATATAATATGCAAGCTCAACAAATGATTGTTTGAGCACTTGAATAGAATCTTGTGGTGTGATAGAATCTCAATGAAAGATACATAAGTCAAACAATTAATGAAAATATTTAAATTCTATTTTCCTTCTTTTTTTGCTCAATTATAATAAGATGTTAAAATTAAAAGTTTATGAAACATGACATATATAAGAGACATTACTAAATACATCTACTAGAAAAAATTTATTAATTAATCACAAAACAATGAAACACTCATAAATTATAAGAACAATAGATTGATTGTCAAACAATAGTGAAATATTTTATGTAGAAGCAAAAATAGTTAACAATAGTCAACAAAAACAATTAAATTGATAAAAATATCCAACAAAAATATATAGCAATAGCAAACACATGATTTTAACGTTGAATTGTTGAAACACGAAAACAGTCAAGCATATAGAGATAGAAATAGTCGATATCATAGGACCTTGTTAGAGATAAAAAAAATCGATAGACAATAAATAATAGCATATAATGAACGACAAATTAATTTTTTTTTATTGTCTTCTCCAATGTAATTAGCTGAAATGTTTTTGGGCTCTTATTATCTACTATTGTATTTTAAAGAAAAAATTTGGGACCCTGATATTTTTGGGTCCTGGACGTACGTCCGTATCGCCCTCCCCCATAACGGTCCTAATTTTGATTGAGATCTACTATTGTATACATATGCTATTTGCATGTTTCGTAACTAAAATTATTAAGACAAATTCTTATAGCTCGTTTAGTTTACTGGATTTTAAACTGTATTTTATTTTAATCCTTTATAAACGAAATAAAAATCTCAAGATTTCAATGAAATCTCATGGGATTTAGAAATTCCATTAGGTAGTCAGTATTTCGTAGAATTTATTTGTAATAGTTAAAAACATTTATTTTATATTAATGAACTAATAAAAGAAGTACGCTAATTAGTTTTATATAATTTTTATTTTTAAAAATTATTTGTAAAGTACTGTTTGTTGATGCATAAAGTACTGTTTGTTGATGTATATTACTTAAAACTCAAGATTACAAGTAATTTTGCGTAAGTACAACTTATTAAAGCTTCATTCTTAAATTTGTGTAACTAACTCCAGATAAACATAATCAAATATAAGATAAACATGCATTTCAGATATAGAAAACATAAAATACAATTAAATAATCATTGAGTTCTAACAGAATTTTTAATTATTATCTTTATAAAAACAAATATATTATTAAACCAAAAATAAATTACTTTATTATTAAATCTAAATTATATTATAATAAAAAATTTTGAATTAAAAATTACACAAAAAATAAGAATTTTTAAATAGTTAATTTGATACTAATATTGATATATTTTTGTCAAATTTTTATGATATCTTCAAATTTATATTTTATTTAAAAATAAAAACATCATCGTTTTTCAAAATCACATAAGACCATATTATAACATCGACTGAGATAAAGAATAAAATGAAATATTAAAATCAAGATATATCTCGCTGCATTGCGCAAGTACTATTATAGTGTATATATATAGGGTTGGGTTCACGTTAAACCAAAGGTTTTTCGTAAGACCCGTAAGACCAATTTATGTTCATTGATACCTTTTATAAGCTAATGATCTAATGGTTTAAAGTTTCACGGTGACAATTTTTTAATTATTGAGAAGTCTTGTGACGTTTATGAATGTTCAGATCTGACGATTGTAGATCTAATTCAAGGGTTGAGAATTGGTCTTACGGGTCTCACGAAAAACTTTTGGTCTCACATGATCCCAAGTATCTATATATATATATATATA